GCAGGGTTTAGGGCTGTTGTGCATAGGGTCTCTATGAGTCGGAAACGACTCGACGGCACATAACAACAACAACAACAACAGTGTTTCCTTGCTCTGTTCTGAAAACTGCTTCTTTTCTGAGTATAGGTTGTGCATGAGCACAATCAAATGTTCTGGTATTCCCATTCTCCTCAAGATTAGCCACAATTTGTTGTGATCTACACAGTCAAATACTAATAAATCATCAGAACACACTCCTGCTAGTAGGTAATATTTTTTATTTTCTTCTTTAGTTGCATAATCAGTGAAACACAGATAGACATTCCTCTGGTACTCTTTGCATTCTGTGGCTGAAAATCAGGAAATATGTGCCTCACTGTTATATCCTCTTTCCATACATACTTATTCTGTATGCTGAGGAAATCTTGGAGAAGAATGTGTCATCAGATAGGAGGAAAATTTGCCAACAAATTGCATTATGGATTATGACACAACTTAATTTGCAGAAAGGGAAGGAAATTTAAAACTATTAATAAAAAACTAAAAAGGTTAAAAATTTCTATGTAGATTACACCTCAACATAAAGAGAACAAAAATATTCATTATGGAGCCAATAAGAATCATAATGATGGAGAAAATATTTTAATTGCTACACATTTACTTGGATACACAATTGACAGCCATAGTAACAGCATTCAAGAAATCAAAAGATGTGTTACATTGGGAAAGGCTATTCCAAAGTTTTAAAGAGCAAAAATGTCATTTTAAAGATTAAGATGTGCCTGTTCCAAGTATTTTCAATTGATCCCTGTGTACCTGAAAATTGAACTGTGAGTAAGGATGGCAGAAGAAAAATTGACGCAAAGTGACAGAAAGGGTAAAAACATGTTCCTCATATATGAAGCTCTGGTGGATTAGTGATAAGAAATTGCACTGCTAAATCGAAAGCATCCAGTTCAAATCTTCGGGTTGCTCCATAAAAGTAAGAATGACAAGTGTCTTCCTGTGGAATTTATTGCCTCTGAAAATCTGCTGGAGAGTAAAGTATGAATTGGTTCTGACTCTCTTGTACAAAACATACACAGATACATATATTTGGAAAATGTAGGCAAATAGAAAACGAAGATATTTATATTTAAATATATCAGTATTATATTAGATGTCAATTACTGAAATTCTCCAATAGAAAATAAAGTACGGGGACGCCGGGCGCCCGGAGGGTTCTGGGAAGCGCCTTAACTCCTCCCCCCGCTCCCGCTCCTTCCTTTCCGTCCCTGTCGCTGCTGAGGTCGCACGTGCGAGGCCTGCCTGCCACCACCGCCAAGATGCGTTATGTCGCTCCTATCTCCTGGCCGCCCTTGGGGGCAATTCCTCCCCCAGCGCCAAGGACATCAAGAAGATCCTGGACAGCGTGGGCATCGAGGCCTACGACGACCGGCTCAACAAGATCATCAGTGAGCTAAGGGGGAAGAACATTGAAGACGTCATTGCCCAGGGTATTGGTAAACTTGCCAGCATGCCTGCTGGTGGTGCTGTGGCCTTCTCCGCAGCCCCTGGCTCTGCCCTAGCTGCAGCAGAGGAGAAGAAAGAAGAGAAGAAGGAGGAGTCTGAGGAGTCAGATGATGACATGGGCTTTGGCTTGTTCAACTGAGTCCCCTTAGTGCAAATAAAGCCTTTCGCTGTTAAAAAAAAAAAAA